TATATATATATTTTTTTTCTATTGTATTTGTTCTACTTTCATTTTATTTGCCATTTGTATATTTGCAAAAGTTTTTATTTTATTTTTGTATCAAGGAATTTAGTTTTTCTGTTTGTCTCAGGGCTTGCTTTATGACAGAAGACAGTCAGTCGTGCATGTTATGATTTCAGTCAGCTTAAATGGCATTTGTTTTATAATATTAGGTTGACTAAAATGGGAAGAAAAAGTTTTAATTCAGTGAGATTTCTTTCTTCTAGACCTATTAGTCAAAAAAGTAACACAAAATAGTAAACTACAATCACATCTTTAGATATATTGAATCGAAATTTTATTCAAAATCGAGAATCGATTTTTAATTGAATGGTGACCTCAGGAATCGATTTAAATCGAATTGAGGTACCAAAAGATGCCCCTCCACACACACACACACACACAATTAATCATGTTATGTTATTTCCTTTAATCTTTCATAGAAATTCGGCAGCAGGAGGATGGCATGCAGGAGCTAGAAAAGACCCTCCTGAAACTCCGTCAGGATCAAAAAGGTACACGCCGTGTGTCTGTGCAGTGCACTAGTGAAGGTCATCGGGTTCACTGTGACTGCCTTACCTGATTGTGTGTTGTGTTCAGAGTCGGTGATGCGCTACTGTGTGGTGTGGAACACGAACTCGCGCAGCTGTCTGGACGCTCAGGCCATCCTGCAGGTGCTGCTCACACACCTGAGCCCTGAGGAGATGCTGCAGTATCAGGGGGCTCGTACTCATCTGGAGGGCCTCATCCCGTACACAGGTGTTTTATCCAAACTAACCCACACACAATGACATGGTGTTTCTAAAGAGCTTTCTGACCTTTCCATTCAAATATGTAATACATTCGAATCCTGTTTCCCGCAGAGAGACACATGCAGCGGATTGGCCGTCTCCTGCAGGCCTCAATGTTTCTGGATTACATGTGGCAGAAAATGCGTATCACAGGTGGTAAAGAGAGGTAAAAACAAGTTCCCAAAACTTCGCGGTAGTGCATTCATTAAATTATTAGTAGCGTTTGCTTGGGGAAGAATCAGCATTATTGCTCATACTCGAGGTTATGAATTGAGGAAATCAAAATGTCATTGATCTTTTGAAATACAAGAGGGCATTGTACTGTACAAATATCCTGCAAGTTTCAGAACTCAAAACTTCATTGTTAGTCCAAAAAAACAGCTTTTATTTAAACCAAGCTCAATTGTCTATCAGAAACAGGATAGAAAATTGCCTGTTCTACAATGGTTTTTGATGTAAAAAAAAAAAAAAAAAAAAAAACGTGGACCACATAGAACATAAAAAATATATATTGAAAGAATAAAAAAAAATGCAGTTCATGACCCCTAAATATTGGTATTAATCTTTGGTACAAAACTAGTCCTGTATGTTTGTGCCATGGGTATGAATTATCAAAATTATCAATCTTGTTAGAAAATAACTGTTCTCTTACTTTTGCTTTTCCAAGCAAACAGATTTGCCACCGCCTTTTTTTTTTTTTTTATGCTCCCAAAAACAGGGACTTGTCTAGATTCTCACTGATTTAAACCAGTAAGCAACAAGGCAGCAAGTTTTTTTTTAGTTTTTTTTTTAAATAGACATCATCAGAGTGAAGTTGAATGCAAAACAATAAAACATTGTTTATTTCCTTGATGATCTGACTACAGTTCTGTAGAATTGAGTGTCTGACATGAGTCACTGCTCAATTCTCATCTTCCAGGAAGTGGGTTTAAATCAACACCATTCTTCCAGACTTTCTTTCAACAAATATTAAACATTCCTTTCACTTATTAAAGAACCATTGAACATCTTAATAAGTTCACTTGTCAAACATTTGACCACATTTGTCCTTGATGTTGCCGTTGGCTTACTCACTCGGAAGTATGTAAGGTAGTTTTGTAAAGTCTTCAAAAAAAAGTTTCTTCAATTGCACACTTTTTCCTGTGAACTTGTTGAAAATGAAGACTGCCAAAAGTTAAAATGCGGTTTCAGTTTAACACACTTTTATTAACTACAGCTAGTCTAGTGACAGTAAACGTGTTTAAACTGCATTTGACATCTGAATGAAACATGGTAATATGTTTTATCAACACTTTTATCCCCAGTCATTCATTTGAAAGTTTATTCAATATATCACGTTTTACAGTTAATCTGCTTTTATGTTTTTGTTTTCTAGTGTGAACTTAGACGATGATGAGATGGATACCAGTCCTCAGTCCATAATCATCATAGACAAGCAACCGATGGAGATGACAGACACTCAAGCATCTCAGCAGCAACCGGAAGATGATGAGGAAGAGGAAGATTTGGAGGATTCAGAAAACAGTGTGGAGCTTCTTGATGAAGGTGTCAGCACGTCTAAAAGTGCTCATGTGAATCTCAAGAAACCCAACGGGGTGAATGGCGGGGCAGAGGAAGGTCATGTGTCCAGTGAGGAGAGTGAAGATGAAGATGAAGTCATGGAAATTTCCACCAAGTCTCTGCCCAACAAATTTACAGGTTCTGCTCTTTGCGAAACAGCAACTATAAGATGATTGGCTGCTGTAGCTGTCAATCAAGAGCCATTTTATTCAGTATTGTATATTGAATTGATGGACCATTTCTGGTCTTTCTGAATATTCTGATTCATACACACATTGTTGCTGAAAAATAGGGGTTTCCTGTTTGTATCACCACACCAATTGCAAAATGCGTAGACTTTTTTTTCATGTATTTTTGTTATACTTCAAATAAATAATGGTCACATCTCTTGGAAAAGAAAAATAAATTGTATCACCTTCTCTGTTGGAATTAAGTTGAGGTCTGTCAATCGAATTACATTTATTTTTATTTTATTTTTATTTTTTTGGAAGCCAATGAGCAACATTTAAGAATAGTAATAAATATTCCAATTAAAACCACTAATTTTGGATGATTTGGCCAATTTTACATATCAAGTTCAAAAATAATTTACCCAAAAGTAATTTAACCAAAATATTATACTTTTTTGAAACCCATTGAAACTTTTAACATTGTACTTTATTTTATGTTTGTTATAAGTGTTTTCTGTGGTAATGGACAATGTCACATTCCACAGAACTTGTGTTCATCACAGAACGTGCCTTAAATATCTCACTCTCAGAGCATCACTGAACTTCTAGCACTGTTAAAACAACCATTTCCAAAAACAAACTTGACCCTTCATTCTCTTGCTATAATAGTGCGTATTGAGTCCTTTAATGATGTGGCTTGTTCCCGCATCGGTTTTTCTGAAACGTTCAGTATCTTGTGCAAACAGTGAGGTGTGTGTGTGCACTGCTTAAACCAGTATTGAATGTTGGGCATCCCAGATTGCTGCAAGTGTTGGATACACAGTGCGCATGTGTGACGCACAGCTTAGTAAGGATGCAGCTTGTATGCAATACTCTTTCTTTCTTTACTGAATACCAACTACACCTCTCTCTCTTGAGTTGATCTTGATGTTTGCATTCTACATTAATGTCTGAGTTTACACGGACACGTAATTTGTCTGTTCTCTCTGAGAGAACGCAGCGACTCAGAACATGCTGTCCCATTGTGCAGATCAGGATTTTTGACCAATGACATTTCGCTTTGAAACACGGCTACAGGTTGCCAGAAACCAAGAAACAAATAAAACGTTTCACTTGTTTCAGTCACACCTGGTTACGCAAAAAAATACCCAGATTTACACTGAGATTTAGCTTCTCATTTGTCACTTTATCTCATTGTGCCAGATTAAAACACTGTACAGCCTTGACTGCCTGACAGTCATCTAATCAGGTTTGCGGTTTTTATTTTAAAAATGCTTAAATGTCTTGGTTATTTACTTTGGTTATTTAAATACACATGCAAAAAACTGAAGCCAGCTCCTTAGTTTAAGAGTCAAGGGTGTCCAATTCTTCTCCTGAAGAGTTGAGCTCTGAATTGCTCCGACACACTTGCCTGAACTTTTCTAGTGTTTCTGAAGACCTTGAAAAGCTAGTTCAGGTGTGTTTCATGAGAAGTCTGCAGTTTAGTTGTCCTCCAAGAACAGGGGTCCGTTCTTTGTACCTTGCATAATACATCTAAGATGATTTGACAGATGCCAGATCTACTAATCGTGATAACTGATCTCTGGCGAATTGGTTTCTTCAAACGAATTTGCAGATTTGATTAAAATATCTGGATTAAACAAGAGTACTGCACGTTCTTGTGTTCATTGGAAAGGGCAGTATATATCGATACTCGAAACCATGATCGGCTATGCAGCGAATGGCTGGTGGCAACTTGGCAAGACAACGTAATGACATCATATTGAAAAAGACACCTGACGAAAAACTTTGCGTTTCTGGACCTTTATGAGGAAACAGCCAAGCGACCAAAACGACATAAGCCTTTTCCCGAGCAGGTTTGAGTTTACGGACCTGTTGCCATGGCAGCAACTCCGGGATGAGCTTCGGCGAACCAAACAATCCTGGATCATGTAAAATCATCAACAGTAAAATCCAGATAACGGAGTAATCCACTTACGGAGAATGGCGCCAAGAGTAGACACCCCCGATTTAAAACCGTAGTAATAATATACTTGTAATTATTAACGGTAACGTGTATTGAATTAGGATTTGAGTTAAACTCTGCAGGAAGGTTGTCCTCCAAGAGCAGGATTTGAAATCAATGACCCCTGCAGAAAATAAAACTCCACAAATGCCAGTCTTTAGAACAACCATTTTATTAAATTCTCTCAAGAGTGTACAATGTATAATATGTCAAGATATGCAATGCATATAAGGTACAAGTTATATTTTCCACTATGGAAAAGTTTTTTCTTCGAAAAAAAAAAAAAAAAACTAAGAAAGACCTAAATCTTGGATAAATATTCTGTTGAAGATTGTAATACATTTTCTGTGCCTGATCTGTCTGATTTGGATGATTGTTTTTCCACAATCATCCAAAAGGTACAAGTTATATTTTCCACTATGGAAAAGTTTTTTCTTCGAAAAAAAAAAAAAAAAAACTAAGAAAGACCTAAATCTTGGATAAATATTCTGTTGAAGATTGTAATAAATTTTCTGTGCCTGATCTAAAGAGCAGCATCTCCAGTAGATTATCATTTGTAACATACATAATATTCTGTTCCAAGAATAAGAACTAGACTTAGTTCTAATTTGTCCATCAAGAAATCATATTATTATCACACAAGTGTTTTTGGTAATGAACAGTAACTCTTGTTCTCCTCAAACATGTAACCTAAAGTACTGGACATTGCAGTGAGGTGACCTAACTGGTTCTTTGCAGGTTTTGGCGTGTAACGGTGGTGCAGCGTTGGAGTATCTCCTGAGCTTGGGGTCTGGGTGGCATCTTGGGGGTGGAGGGCATCTTGTTGAGACTGGGGTCTGATCGGCTGCTGATCATCTTGCCTTCTGTGGGACTTTCAACGCTCAGGCTGCGAGAAGACTCAAGCGTAGGGGTGCGACTCCGGCGGAATTGCTGTTCTGCGTCCAAACGATTTAGCGAATCGCTGCCGGAGAAGCTGCTTTCATCGCTGAACTCTTCGCTGTCCTCACTGAGACTTCTTTGCTGACCGTTCTCTGCAAATTGGACTCGGATTGATGGAGTCAGCCATGTCATACGAGCATCCGGCAGCCTACCCATTGAACGTGACATTAGCTTATCTCTAGGGTCCAGGGTGCTTCCTGGAACTAGATGCAGATTGCCCTGGGATTTGCTGAGCTTACGGTCAGAAGCCTGCAGGGAATTGTCTCCAATAGGTTGAAGCCGTGCCAAGTCAAGAGAGGAGCTGGTCATCTCCCTCTGAGCAGGCATCATGCGAATCCTTGGGTTATTGTACGGTTGCAGGTACATAGATGGTGCAAAGCCCGCCTTTCGATTGTACCTGAGGGATAGAGAAAAACTGCTGTTAATCATTGAGGAATGGGTAAAGGGTAGGTAAATTTCATTCAGTGGAAATGAACAAGGAAGAAGCATAGGCAGGGGTAGGCAACGTCGCTCCTAGAGAGCCACTGTCCTGCAGAGTTTAGCTCCAACCCAGAAAAAAATACTCAATGGCCTGTAGCCTTAGTAATCCTGAAAACCTTGAATAGCTTGTTCAGGTGTGTTTGATTAGAGTAGGCGGGCGCTAAACTCTGCAGGACAGCAGCTCTCTAGGACCGACGTTGCCTGCCCCTGGTCTGCACAAACTGCCAAAACTAGTCTGCAAAAATGAGAATGTAAAGCAAGTGCCAAGTTTCCCCAAGCTTCATCTACACGACACACGAGCAGATAAAACATTCCTGCCCTTTAGATAACTGGTGTTTATTTCAGCTGGTTATATCTGCTCTTTTTCAGGAGTAAACAATATTGAGATTTAGATTTACCTTACTATCCACCAGCCATTGTCAGACTTCTGTAACACCTCCACCACAGACCCAATCTCGACTGATATTTCATCACTGTTTATGGCTTTGAAACTTTTGGCAGCAACATAGAAAACACCTGAAAAAGGGAAACATAGTAAGATTTGTTAAAGAATGTCCTGGTCAACAAATGAGTCCATTATTAATATACAACAGCAAGGGTTTCCAAGAGAGTTTCCATGAGAATCCTGCAGAGTTTAGCTCCAATCCTAATAAAACACACCTGAACCAGCTAATCAAGGTTTTAGGATCCTTAGAAACTTCCAGGCGAGTGTGTTTGGGGGCATATTGGAGCTAAAGACTGCAGGATTTTGGCCTTCAGGAGCAGGATTGGACACCCCTGTACAAGGGTTATTTTTTTAGGCTGTTAGTTTTTATGTAAAGATGCATTCCCAGTGATTTCCAACAAGCAAGCGACCACAATTCAGTGGTCAATTTTCAGTGAGACTTAGCGGTGTACGCATAATTAGGTCAAATAAACTGTGGTTTCCAAAGAAATGTTGATTCAGAGCAAACAGAAGAATGCGAAACATCCACACTGCGGCAAAACCGGTTTTATTTCCAGATCAGTGTAGCCAGAACACACTAGAAACCACTAAACCATTTCTTACTTTCGCCATCCATCACATCAGGACCGTCATCAGCCATCTCGGCTCTCTGTAGATACGGAGCAGGAAACCAGGCGAGACGTTTGGCTTCGTTCTCCACCAGCCACCATCCTGACAAAAGTCAAAAACAACAAGGTCAGCAAACAACGAAGAGTATTCTTAGAAAACTCCCTTGCTTCTAGATGCTGTCTGTGTGGTTCGGCCAAATGAGTTCTCACCTTTTTGGTCTTTAATGAGGACATCCAAAATCTCATCCACTTCAACCTTGAAGGGGTGATTCTTGGTGTCCTTGGTCTCATAAGTAGCTACGCAGCGGTATGTTTCAGTAACAAAAGGTTGAGTAACCCCATTGTTCATTCCAACTTTACTACTGTCCAGAGTGGTCTCTGATGGCATGATCACGATACTGCAGAACAAAACAGAATCTTTAAATATCTTTGTAGTTTTGAAAATGATTATATGTATTTATTTTCTGCTTTGCTTGTTTTGCAGTATTAGCTTACCTGTTTTTTGCAAAGTCCGCATTGAGGTCCTGGGATTTGGGAAGCAGGAACTGGATGAGCTCCGGGCTCTGGCAGATAAGGGGATCGCTCTTCAGCAGTTCACTGCAGTATTCGTCCAGGGTCTTCAGTCTGAGCACCGACTTACTGGGACTCCACTTCTGCATGTTTTTCCGCAATCTTGCAGCTGCAAATGCATTTTTGTTTATTATTACTTAACAATGAGTACTTGAATTTGCATTGTTTAAGGGGAAACTAGCAGAGTATTTACCTTTAAATTTGGGAACAATCCTTGTCGACCTTTTAATGAGATTTGAAGGAGGGAATTTCTTCTTGAGTTGTCTCTGCAGAAATAAGCATGCTTATGTTATTCTACTCAACTAAAGTCAACATATATACTGTATTTATGCAGTAAAATAGGCCACACAAATTGTTTTCAAATATGATGGAGACTTACATGCAGTGTCTTGAAGTCTTCAAGCGATCTGTACACCGTGATCTCATTTTGATCTGACCAGAGAACAGTGGTCATGTACAACTGGGAAGAATGGGAAGAATGTGATTAGATGAATTTCAGTGCTTCTCTTTACATCAAAGCTCTCACTATACATTAGTCTGCATGTTATTGTGTATTTAGTTAGGTAAGGATGCCTACTGAATGAATTACCTACCATACATAAGATAGTCTATCTAGAAGCTGCTTTGATACAATCTGTATTGTAAAAAGCGTTTTATAAGTAAAGGTGACTTGACTATCCCTATTTCTATCTGATGTGACCCTTAAAAATGACATATTCCAATTTTAATAAGCCATGTTATCATAACTTACATTGGAAACACATGAAGCGTATTTTAGGTTAACTGACATAAAAAAAAAGTTTTCAATGTGAATTACTTTTAAATGTTTCATGGAGCTGATTGTAATTCCACATTATTTTTATGTTATTATTTCTCCAGTATATAAGTAAATATACTATTAAATCAATTAATTATACGATAGGCCTACTGAAACGTTTTATTAATATGTAAAATTGTAATATATTGGAACATTCTCAAACATCATCGAGAATTTCATTCAAAACAACGGTAATGTAGCTTTTTAATAATGCATGCAAAATGTAAAAAAAAAAGAACATGTCTTACTTTCGCTTCTTCTTTTTGCATCACTCCAACAAGCTGAATATTGACAGGATGTCTTTGCTCCTCCATATTGATCAGGTACAGGTTGCTGTTGTAGATGTGTTGTCTGTAGCTGTTGCTCTGATGTTTGACTGACTGCTGCTCTCTGTTGCGCTCTTTCTATTTATTACATCTCCAGTCAGAGGCGGAACATGCGCGGCGCGCGCGCTCCCGCTGCAATTTCACAAACCGGATAGTCCGCTATTACATCAACAATATTGCTTGAAAAAGAGCATGGAATCTCCAGGTAAGTGCCACGTCCTTATCATACGTTCAAATAACAGACCTCAATCAGAGGCACACCTACTGAGTGGGGCCCTAGGCAAAATTAATCAGTGATGCCCTTTTTTAAAATATATTTTATATAGGCCTATACGTTTTTTTTATAAAATATATTAATATATAATATGCTTTTTTGTCAATATATCTTTTATTAGCCTACCTAGAGATATGATTAAACAAAAAGTAGTCAAAACAAATCTAACAGAGCATAAGTTATTTCTTTTTTTACATTATGTTCTTATTTTTTTAATTAACTAAATGTTAATCTTCATCTTTATAACAGAAGATACAATACAATACAAAAATCTTCAAGATACAGTACAATATTCACATAACGGATTATACACCTTAAAAACAGTTATTGTGGTGGAACAAGCAATGCTAGATGGTTAGCATCTTAATAGTTATGCCAACTCAACTAATTTAATGTAAAGAGCTAGATAATTACTAATCAAATAATGTCAACTATAAATGTAGGCTATTGATTAGAGTTGCGGTAGACTAAAGATTTTTCTAGTTGACTAGTCATTAATTTAAGCGATTAGTCGACTAATTGCACGTTTATATTAATTTCTGCTTTAAATATTGGGTGCATGCGCTCAAGCACATGCATAAATCTGGCCGCAAAGCACCGGCAAAAGTAGGCTAATGATAATAAATGTGTCTGAAAAATTAAGGAACCATTTTAATTGTTTATTAATTAACTAGTGTTTTCTAAATCAGTGTAGGCTGCAAACACATCTCCATACATCTCCGCTGTAAAGTAGATGCACCTTTTATACGGACAGGATTACATAATCAGATGGTACCATATTTGCTTTCAAATCGATGTTTTTCGTTGGTGGACATTTCAAGCTTTATATTGGTATATTTCTCATGTCTGTGAGGCTAGTCTATACGCTGTTTTATTTATTTATTTATTTTCATTTTCGAGATGCGCTCCAGTTCACGAAAACCATGAAAGCGCCCGCTGTTTGTTTTCTTTTGATTTTACAAAAGCACAACGTTTTCTTGTTATTGTGAGTTTACACAAATAAAAGTAGTTGAATGATGTATTATTCTTACCGTAGTTTAACGCCATCTATAAATAATGCAATATACTTTTCCATTGCTTCACAAATAATGTTTGAAATACTCATTGTGGCCTGCTCAACACACTAATAGACAGTGTGAAGAGATAAAATGGTCACTTAAACACTGTAAAAAATTGCCAGGTAGGGGGGAGTGGGGTAAGATGAGCCAGTGGGTAAGTTGACCCACAACCTTTATCTTGGCAACTGTATACTTTTATTGTCGTGTGACGTATGTAATGTTATGGCTGTTACATCAAAGCAAATTTGTCGAGGTCTAAAAAATGTATATGATTCATAATGGCGATTTAGCAATGTAGCTACAAAACTTACTACGATACTTTTTTATTGTACTTTGTCTTAATTTTCTCCTATCTTGAGGACCACATAAGTGTTTTAAAAATGGCTCATCTTACCCCTCTCTCCCCTAAATGTGCTTCATATGAAAACATCTAAAGACTAATGAAAACACTTTTTACAGTGGATTTTATAGCCAATTTAATAGTTTAAGCCCTTCTCCACATCAAACGTCAACATCACTGTGTCATAGAACAATGTTGACATATTCATAAATCCCTGTTTGATGAGCTCGTACAAGGAAAAACCCTCGACATTCCAGGAAATAGAAGCTAATGTTTTATGTTATGGTTATAAGGAAGCGTAGGCAGGTTTCTTCTCAGAGGTGTGTCCAACACCTTTGTTTTCCTTTACATTTTTTCACACCTAACCCTGCTGTCAGTATTGACTCTCCAGTGTTGACTGACTCACTGAAAAACCCATTATTGAAATATCAGATTTTATTTTATGCAAATAGGCTTGTCTGTGCTGATGTTGTTTATTAAACTTCTTCATGACTCATGGTATTTACTAAAACCCTTATTGCTCGTATTTAGGAATATTTGAGGAAAAACAAAAACCTAATTCCACACTGTTTGTGCTAATTGATACCTTAATTCTGGTGGCTCATTAAAAAAAATGTGAGCTATTACCTATGATCAGATATGCTATTTTTTCCTGGCAGACATCAAAAATGACATGAGCATGAACCCGAGCTCTGGAACCACAATAGCCACATCCATGAGATCATTTAAAATAATGTTCATAGAGGGTCATAGGTCTGTTACGGCTTTCCACTAAGCCGCTGGTGTTGCAGGAGTGAGCAAGTATTTGACAAATACAAATTGAATCCATAAACACAGATGTAAAATGCAAATAGTGTCTTTCTTTATTGTGCTCCAATTAAAAAACATTGCTTTCGATTAGCTTCCTGTGGTGTCTCATTCTTTCAAGTTCATAGCATACAAATATGAAGTCCATACCTTGCAGATACTGCACACTCACAGTCCATATTGTTTCTTGAACATCACTCTTTACCAATCAAACATGATGAAATAACACCCAATAACAAAATCCTGCAAAAATTGTGTACTTCTCAACTATCAATACACACTTCTCCTTTCTTACAATGTCAGAACGCCACCTAATGGACAAATATATAATTGAATGAAAATGGCTCCTACAGGTCAGTTTCAAATGAGTTGAGCTGTTGAGCTGAGCTGAGCTGTTTTTAATGAGCTGTTTTTAATTCCAGAAGTATTACACTGATTCTTGAGATAAGGGACAAAACCTGTTTTAGATGTTAGTTTTTATTAATTAATAATACATCATTACTAATTGATATATTTATAAACAACGGTCTCAACTGATGCATGTAAAGGAACAGGTTTTTCTGATTTTTTTTTTTTTAATGTACATGTATTCACTTCATAACTTAAATGGTCAACTCCGTCAGACGCATTAAAAAGCATGCTATTTTAATTTGATTCATCCAAACACCGTGTAAAGTCTTTAATGTAATAGTGGTGTTCAGTAAAGGAGCTAAGTGAACAAAATTTATTCATTCAGAGTTTTTTTCCTGGGTTAGGGTTATTATGAACAATCGAGTTCCTAAATTACTTAATTCTCGATACCCTCCTTTTTAATATTAAACATGTAACTAATGCTCTTAAGTAAATCAGACATCATGTAGTTCAGTTGATGTTTTAATATTTTAACACAATAAATGGAAAAAATAGTCAAATATTTCTTTCAAAATGATCAGAAACCTGTATCTGACAGTGTTAAATATTCACAGAGTGGATAAAGGTTGAACTGAGGTTCCAACAACTGATTGACAAGACAACAAACTAAGTCAACTAACTAATTTTTAAGCTAATATTTAATTTAATACAATAATCCTTCCAGTGGTTTGTTTGTCTCATTTTAGTGGTACAGTACATCTCGTTCTGGGTCAGCTCACAGAATATAAGAAGCGTATGTTAGGTTGAGTGTAATGGTAAGCATTATTATGTGCTGCCTTGCAGCAACAGAAATGTTCCCAATGTGAATACAAAGGATCTGTAGCTGTACATACATTTTATTTGTGCCTGACATGCATAACTTAAGTACTGGGAAACTGCCGTCAGGCATGTTTGCTGTCTATAAATTCCATTATATCAGGGTTTACTATTGTTGTTATCTCATGTGAGTAACAGGTTGTAAAAAAAAAAGAAAAGAAAAAAAGTGCACAAATTAATTATTTATAACAGGGACTGCAATATTCCAAAAAAAAAAATAAGAATGATAGTAGATGTAAAGATGCTATAAGGCATGTACATCTGGCCAAATATGTAAATCATATCATGAATAAACATTACAATAATTCCCCATATGCAATCACTATATAAAGAGTTTTGTGAGCACTTGTCAAATCCATCAGTTTACAAGTCAACTTGTTCAGACATAAAACCTGATGGAGTTGACGTCTGACGGAGTTGACTAAACTTGAGTCCACCTTAACCACAATTTATACAGTGGAGCAATTTCTGTTCGCAGAGAACCAGGGTTACACAAGTAACCTAACATTTGCTAATACTGTGCATATTTACAGATTTTAAGATTATGACGACAGGAGTGAATGAGATGAAATATTATTGAGAGATGACAGAAATGTTGCCGTTTATGATGGATATATCCAGAAACATATACGTTTCCAAGGTGCAAGATCTATGGTCTTGTTTATTGAATGTGATTTTTTGGAAATGGACAATATAATTAAAATTCTTATTTTAATTGGGAAATATAATATACACAGAACAAATTATGTCAACTGTACTGAATGGTAGACAGTTCCCTTTCGAGAGGTTCCTCCTATTGCGTAATAGCTTACGCTATGGGAAAACTCCTTTTCTCGAGAAAATTGAAGTCTTTATGTAAAACGCATTGCAGCTGCACAGCATACAGCAATAAGCGAGGCAGCTCGGTCATTGGCTGTGCTGCGGCAACTGCACGAACCTATGACGGGGCGACTCTGAACCCGCTTCCAATGAGCGTGCTTCGCGCCCACGCGCGTCAGAGCCCACCAAGATGGGCGTGGCCAAGGGCTATATATTGGGCGCCCCGTCGTCTGAGTTCTTTAGATTTAATCTCCTTCAGCAAAGACCTTCTCTTCGCTGGATCCTCCAGATTTCTTGGAGTCTTTTCGCCGCCGCCGTCGACAAGCCTACAGCAGGACTGCTTCGAGGACGCCGGCGCCTTCAGCCGCCTTCGATCACCTTCTGCTAAGCCATCCGGCGCGCATCATCTTATATCCTTTTTCAAAGCTTTCAGTGTTCGCCCCCGCGACACTTTCTAAAAGAGCAAATTAACAAGGCGTTGTTTCAAATGCCTTCCTGCGCCTC